GTGGGTGGGGTCGGACCAGTGGCTTTTCAACATTTCCTGGTTGGGGGAACTTCTGTCTGTGTTCTGGTGGGTGGAGTTGGATCTCTTCTCTCTATAATGTAATGAAGTGTCCAGTAGTGAGCTTGCCGGGGGCGGGGGTGTCTATGGGTTTGGTATGCTTTGGGCAGGCCATCTTTAAATATCCAGGCATGTGTTCCTGTTTTGCTGGAGAATTAACCTGGTGTGTCTTGCACTGGAACTTGTTGGCTCTTGAGTGGAGCTTGGTTTCAGTGTAGGTATGGAGACTTTTGGGTGGGCTCTTGTTCATTAATGTTCCCTGGAGTCAGGAGTTCTCTGATGTTCTAAAGTTCTGGAGTTGGGCTTCCTGCCTCTGGGTTTTGGTCCCCCTCTTACAGTAGCCTCAAAACATCTCCATCCATACAGCACAGAAGATAAAACCCCTAAGTTAATGGTGAAACAACTCCACAGCCAGGAATACCCAGAGAGATTCACAGGGTTATAAAGAGAAGAGAAGAGGGAGGAGGGAGATAGAAGTGATCATGAGGAGAAAAGGGAGAGTCAAAAGTTGAGAGAGCAATCAAGCCAGTAATCATATCCCTAAGTGAAAATGGATACTGAAGATTATAGATTCTTAAAGGTACAAAATTGATAACAAATATCAAAAAGCAAAGATTAAAAACCTAGAATAGAAGTTAGACTCTCAAAAATACAATATAAAAAATACAGAACAAAATCAATCACAAAAAATGAAAAAATATATATGGAATTGATTTTTTAAAATAGTTTTTTTTTTAAAAAAGAAAGGTAATAGTAGGCTATAAAAATGAAAGTTAAAGGAGTAATAAAGAATCAAAATTTTTAAAAATCAATAAATGATAATAGTAAAAATTTATCTAGGCATTTCTCTGGAGCTTTTGTGGGCAGTGTGGGGTCAGTTCAGTGTCAGATAACCCCTTATTCTGGCTTGTATATCTGGCATATATATCTTATATATATTCTGGCTTATCTCTGGCTTGAGACCTTGTTTTCAAGGTCTATAGGTGTCTCTCAAGTGCACAGTCTCAACATTAACTGCAGGGTTTTAATCTGTGGCACTTATCACTTCCAGAGTGGTTCCCCCTTCTTTGTTTATTTTGACTTCCTCTGTTTTCAATTCTCTTCCATGTCTAATTTCTGCCTTGATACAAGGGGGTGAAAGTGGCCACTTATTTAGGCTCACTTGTTCAGTTGTGTTGTGGGGAGGGAGGGTCACTGCAAACAAATACCACTGGCATGTGTGGGGAGTGCTTGCAGTGGATGGACCACACTGGGTATGCCACAGCTCAAGGCAGCTTGTACTTCCTGGGTCCACTCTGCTTAGGCTCCAGGGTGCTCTGCAAGGGCATTGTTCCAAGTAGGCCCTGCATTTTGTGCACTTCCCAGGTCTAAGCCGCTCAGGTTCTTGGGTGCTCTGCATGGGCACAGGCCCAGATGGGCTGTGAGTTTTGTGCCTTTCCCAGGTCCGAGCAGCTCGGGTGACTGAGTGCTTGGTGAGCGCACTGTCCCAGGTGGGCCATGCATCTTATGCACCTCCCTGGTCCTGGCCACTTGGTTTCCTAGGTGCACTGTGAGAGCACAGCCCCAGGTGTGCTGTGTATCTCTTCTGGGGAGCTGATCTCAGGTTGTGACACTCCTGGCAGATGTAAACTCTCCAGTATCCCAGGAAGACATGATTAGCAACTGGGAGCCTGCTCACAGTTTGATGGAAGATGCAGTCTCTAGGGCCGAGATTGCAGCAGCCCCTTGCCTTCTGGCTCCGTCTGTCACACACCTGCCTCTCTGGCACTGGGGAGGGAGGGCCCTAAACGGCAGCTGGCTTGCTCTCATTTGGTATTTGCTCAATCCTTTCTTCTGTGAGCACACCAGAGGTCATTGTGTGGCATTAGAGCCTTTCACAGGAGAGATTTTTTTTAAATCTCTCTAGCAATCCCATGGTTTAGGTAGCTATCTCACATTGGCTTCCTCAGATTGTCCTCGGGGCATTCACGCCCGGTCCTTACCCTAAGGACCGATGATGCAGCCCATACCTCCCAGCCCAGCCCCCACTTGCTGGTGGCGGAAGTGAATGTCTGTGCCACTTCTCCATCTCTGCTTGTAGTTGTGGTTAGGTGCATATTCTGTAGGGTATCCCCCCATCCTGTTACGTTGCCCTCTGAGATCCCAAAACTCCCCACAGACACACCTATGAAAGGGTTTTCTACTATGTGGAAACTTCTCCTTCATGACTCCCTTTCCAGGACGGGTCTCTGTCCCTAAATCTTTTGTCTGTTTTCATCTTTTATATTTTGTCCTACCTCCTTTTGGATAGATTGGGCTGCTTTTCTGGGTGCCTGGTGTCCTCTGCCAGTGTTCAGAAGTTATTTTGTGGAAGTTGCTCAAGATTCAAATGATCTTTTGATGAATTTGTGGGTGAGAAAGTGGTCTCACTATCCTTTTCCTCCACCATCTTGGGACCATCCCCCTTCTCTTTCTTACCTTGCCCATATCAAAACTGTCTGTGCTGGATGACTGTTCCTGTACCTGAAGGTCATGGACACACAACACCCACAAGACTTTATGATGTCCTTCAAGAATTCCACATGCAGATGGCGCTGCCCACTAGTTTTTCCAGTTATATAAGGATCTACAGTCTCACATCGACATATACTCCCCCTACTTTCTTCCTGTACCCCAAGACCTCTCTTCTCTTTCTTATCTTGCTCTTCTGAAAACTGGGTGTGCAGGAGGAACTGTCCCTGTGACTGAAGGCCTTGGAAACACAATACCCACAGGCTTTTCTGATTTAGTTCGATGAATCCACTAGCAGATGATGCTGCTCCTCTACATTTTCTGAATTCTATGCAGCTCTACAGCCGCACATTGACATTTACTCTCCCACTCCCTTCCTGTGCCCCGAGACCTGTCTTTTCTTTCTTCTCTTGCCCTGATCAAAAGTGACTGTGCAGGAGTGACTCTCCCTGTCACTGAAAGCCTTGTTGACACAACACCTCCATGGCTTTCAGATTTAGTTCAAGGAATACACCATCAGAAGGCACTGATTCACTAGCTCTTCGAGTTCTACTTGGCTCCACAGTCTCACAATGATATCTACTCCCACTCCCTTCTTGTGCCTCAAGACCTCTCTTCTCTTTCTTCTCTTCTCCTTATCAAAATTGTGCGAGGGTGACTGTCTGTGTCTGAAGACCTTAGCAACACAACACTCCAAGGGATTTCTGATGTAATTCAAGGAATCCACCAGCAGATGGCTCTTCTCCACTAGCATAGAAATTGGAAACACATAATCAGTTAATAGGTTCTTTTTAATTTTTTACTTATGTATTTTTATTTGACTGTGATGGGTCATCCTTGCTTCAGCGGGCTTTTTTATAGTTGCAGTGATCCAGGACTTCTCTTGGTTCAATTTCATGAGCTTCTCATTGCTGTGACTTCTCTTGTTTCCTGGCAGAGGCCCTACGGTGTGATGGCTTCAATAGTTGTGGCGCCCTGGCTTAATTCCCCCATGGTATATAGGGTCTTCCTGGACCAGAAATTGAACCTCTGTCCCCTGCACTGGCGGGTGGAATCTTAACCACTGGACCCCAAGGGAAGACCTGGAAGGTGAAGTCTTAACTACTGGACCACCATGGAAGTCCCACCAGGTCATAGATTTAGATGCAAAGACATATGACGGGAGCTTGGTCCAAGAAACAAAGCATGAACAGGGTACAACTGACCAGAATCGTGAAGAAATGCCTGAGTTGAAAATCAGACAATCTGGCTGCTAACCTTGAATCTCCCACCCACTAGTTCTATGGCTTTTGTACATCATTGTGAGTAAAATACAGTTCACTTATGTTAACCTCTCGGCCCTCAAGCTACCAGGGAGAAGTGCTTCTCAAATTTTAATGTGCACTGGAATCACCAGGTACATTATGAAAGTGCAAGTCCTGGTTCAATAGGCCTGTGATGGGGACCTCAGAGTCAGAAATTCCCAGGTGATGCTAATGCTGCTGGTCCCGGGACCACACTTTGAGTAGCAAGCAAGCATACACTACAAAAGTGGCTCAAGGGCTCTCACTGCTGGTGTGGATGGAAGGTCAGAGGCAGAACTTTAGTCATCACACCCTCACAAGCTTCAGCCAGTGCCTTGCCTTTTGAGGTTCTGAGACTGTGGAGATCGTCTGATCAGCTCTGAATCAAGCTGATCACTAACGAAGACTGATCCTAGCAGATAGACTGCTTCCACGTGGTCAGTGTTCCCCTTGGTCAGTGTTCATTGATGTAAAATGAGTTGCCAACACCTCCCCAGGGCTTTCTGGTGTAGTTCATGAGATCCACCAGCAGATGGCGTTGCTACATTAGGTTGTCGAGTTATACTAGGCACTACGGCCTCATATTGACATTCGCTCCTCCCACTCCTATGCTGTGCCCCAAGACCTCACTTCTCTTTCTCCTCTTGCCCTTATCAAAACTGGCTCTTCTCAGGTGACTGTCCCTGTTGTTGAGGCCTTGGGAACACATCTCCCCCAGACCTTTCTGATGCAGTTCAAGGAATCCACCAGTAGAAGATGCCGCTCAAATATATTTTCGAGTTATACAAGATTCTATAGCCTCACATTGACATCCACCACCACCCCCACTCCCTTCCTGTGCCCCAAGAGCTATCTTCTCTTTCTTCTCTTGACCTTATCAAAACTGGCTGTGCAGCAGTGACTGTGTCTGTGGTGAAGCCTTTAGAAACACAACACCCCAAGGGCTTTCTGATGTAGTTCAAGGAACCAACCAGCAGATGACTCCACTAACATAGATATCGGAAGCACATAATCAGTTCATAGGTTCTTTATAATTTTTTATTTATATATTTACTTTGGCTGTGCTGGGTCTTTGTTGCTGTGGGGGGCCTTTCTCTGGCTGCGGTGAGTCAGGGATACTCTTTTTTGCAGTGTTCAGACTTCTCATTGCCATGACTTCTCTTGTTGCAGAGCACAAGACCTAGAGCACCAGGGCTTCCATAGTTGTGGAGTCCAGCTTCGTTGCTTCGTGGAAAGTGGAATCTTCCCGGACCAGGGAACGAGGCCACATGTCATGCACTGGCAGGCTGATTCTCAACCAATGAACCACCTGGGGAGCCCCTGAGGGTGAAATCTTAACTACTGGACCTCCAGGGAAGTCCCACAAGTCATGGATTTAGATGCAAGGACATGGGACAGGGGCTTTGTCCCAGAAACAAGGCATGAACTTGTCCTCTGGGATGAGAGGGGAATCTGCCACAGGGTGCAACTGACCAGAATAGTGCAGAAAAGCCTAAGCCGAAAGTCAGGAAACCTGGCTGCTACCTTTGATCTCCCACCCACTAGTTTTGTAGCTTTGGATACATCGTTATGAATCTTCCTTAGTTTGTTTGTAAAACACAGTTCACTTACGTCAACCTCTTGGCCCTAAAGCTTCCAGGGAGTAGTGCTTCTCAAACTGTAATGTGCACTGGCATCACTAGACGTATTATGAAAGAGAAAGTCCTGATTCAATAGGTCTTTGGTGGAGGATTCAGAGTCACAAGTTCCCAGGTGATGCTGATGCTGCTGGTCCCTGGACCACACTTTGAGTAACAAGCAAGCATGGACTACAGAATTGGCTGATCCACTAGGTTATCGAGTTTTATGAGGTGCAATATTGAGCGATTAAGAACCTATGAATTGATTATGCGCTTCGGATTTCTATGCTAATGGAGCAGCGCCTTCTGTTGGTTGATTACTTGAACTACATCAGAAAGCCCTAGGGGTGTTGTGTTGCCAAGGCCTTCAGTGACAAGGACAGTCACCATGCACAGATAGTTTTTTTAAGGGCAAGAGAAGAAAGAGAAGAGAAGTCTTGGGGAACAGGAAGGTAGGAGGGGGAGTAGATGTCAATGTGAGGTTGTAGAGCCTCTGTTTTAGCCATTTCACTGTGATTCCCAGGGTGATAGAATCTTTTTATTATAAGAACAGGCAACCCAAAGTGGGACAATGAACTGCAGTACTTTGCAGGTGGCATGTATTTTGGCTTTTTTTCATATGCATGTCATGATATCTAATTAATTTTTGTATGTTATGTGAGTTTTTTGATTTTAAAGATGTGCTTTTCCAATGTTTCCAGTATTTTGCTGAAAATGTTATTTTTCTCTGTTGTACTGAATTTACATTTCAGTCAAAAGGCAATTGTCTTTCTGACTTACTTCACTCTGTATAATAGGCTCCAGTTTCATCCACTTTATAAAGTAATTAGCCTCCAATTAAAATAAATAAATTAATTTTTAAAAAAGGCAATCGTCCATATAGTTTTGAGTATATTGTGAACTCTCTGTTCTGTTCCATTGATCTGTAAATCTATCTTTATACCAAGATCACACTGGATTATTGTTGATCTATACCAAGTTTTGAAATGAAGTAATATAAATCCTGCATCTTTGTTCTTTTTCAAAAATTTTGGCTCTCCTTAGTCTTTTGTATTTCTATGGAAAGGTAGAATCACTTTGTCAATTTATCTTAAAAGTCCTGTGACCTGCCTCTTGAGAAACCTGTATGCAGGTCAGGAAGCAACAGTTAGAACTGGACATGGAACAACAGACTGGTTCCAAATAGGAAAAGGAGTACGTCAAGGCTGTATATTGTCACCCTGCTTATTTAACTTATATGCAGAGTACATCATGAGAAATGCTGGGCTGGAAGAAGCACAAGCTAGAATCAAGATTGCTGGGAGAAATATCAATAACCTCAGATATACAGATGACACCACCCTTATGGCAGAGAGTGAAGAGGAACTGAAAAACCTCTTGATGAAAGTGAAAGAGGAGAGTGAAAAAGTTGGCTTAAAGCTCAACATTCAGAAAACTAAGATCATGGCACCTGGTCCCATCCCTTCATGGGAAATAGATGGGGAGACAGTGGAAACAGTGTCAGACTTTATTTTTTTGGGCTCCAAAATCACTGCAGATAGTGACTGCAGCCATGAAATTAAAAGACGCTTACTCCTTGGAAGGAAAGTTATGACCAACCTAGATAGCATATTAAAAAGCAGAGACATTACTTTGCCAACAAAGGTCCGCCTGGTCAAGGCTATGGATTTTCCAGTGGTCATGTATGGATGTGAGAGTTGGACTGTGAAGAAAGCTGAGTGCCAAAGAATTGATGCTTTTGAACTGTGGTGTTGGAGAAGACTCTTGAGAGTCCCTTGGACTGCAAGGAGATCCAGTCAGTCCATCCTAAAGGAGATCAGTCCTGGGTGTTCATTGGAAGGACTGATGCTGAAGCTGAAACTCCAATACTTTGGCCACCTCATGCAAAGTGTTGACTCATTGGAAAAGACCCTGATGCTGGGAGGGATCGGGGGCAGGAGGAGAAGGGGACAACAGAGGATGAGATGGCTGGATGGCATCACTGATTCGATGGGCATGAGTTTGAGTAAACTCCGGGAGTTGGTGATGGACACGGAGGCCTGGCGTGCTGCGATTCATGGGCTCGCAAAGAGTCGGACATGACTGAGTGACTGAACTGAACTGAACTGAACTGTTGCTTCATTGGGAATGCATTGAATCTATAGGTCAGTTTTCTAGAGCTCACATCCAGCAATATTGAGTGTTCAAATCTGTGAGCATGATATATCAGTCAATTTATTTATGTTTGTATTATTTAATTCCTTCTGTAATTTTCAGTATACAGGTCTTCCAGAAATTTTGTCAAATTTATCCCAAGGTACTAATATTTCTGCAAAGAAAACATATAAATGGCTACCAAATAAATGAGTAGATGTTCCACATCATTGGAAGTTGAAAGTGTCAGTTGATCAGTCATGTCCAACTCTTTGCAATTCCAGGGACTGTAGCCCACCAGGCTCCTCTGTCCATGAAATTCTCCAGGCAAGAATACTGGAGTGGGTAGCCATTACTTTCTCCAGGGGATCTTCCCAACCTAGGGATCAAACCCTGGTCTCCTGCATTGCAGGCAGATTCTTTACTGTCTGAGCCACCAGGAAGTCCAATTTCACATCATTAACCTTAGTGAAATGCAAATGAAAATTACTGCTTCACACATACTGCTGCTGCTGCTGCTGCTAAGTTGCTTCAGTCGTGTCCGACTCTGTGAGACCCCATAGATGGAAGCCCACCAGGCTCCCCCGTCCCTGGGATTCTCCAGGCAAGAACACTGGAGTGGGTTGCCATTTCCTTCTCCAATGCATGAAAGTGAAAAGTGAAAGGGAAGTCGCTCAGTCGTGTCTGACTCTTAGCGACCCCATGGACTGCAGCCCACCAGGCTCCTCCGTCCATGGGATTTTCCAGGCAAGAGTACTGGAGCGGGGTGCCATTGCCTTCTCTGTCACACATACTAGGATAACCATGAATTAGAAAAGAAAAATAACAACTGTTGGAGAAAGTGTGGAATCATCATACATTACTAAGTGGAACTGTAAATGGTGCAGCCTGTATGTAAAACAGTTTGGTGGGTTCTTCAATTAGTTAAACATAGAATTAACATGTGATCCGGCAATTCTACTCCTAGTTGTGGACCCCCAAAATTGAAATCAGGTGTTCAAACAAAACTTGTATTTGCATGTCCATAGTAACCCTATTCACAATGGCAAAAAGGTAGAAACAACACAAATGTCCATGAACATATGAATGGATAAATAAAATGTCGTATATCCATTAAATGGAATATTAGTCAGCCATTAAAAGGAACATACAATAATGTGAATGAACTACAAAATATTATGCCAAGTTAAAGAAGCCAGGCATAAAAGGTTACATATCATATTATTCCATTTGTATGAAACACCCATAAAAAGCATATACATAGAGACAGAAAGCATATTTGTATTTGCCAAGGAGTGGGGTAGGGAGGTAATGAAGACTGACACTTAATGCACATGGTGTTCTCATCTGTGGTGATGGAAATGTTCTAAAGTTAGATAATGGTGATGGTTACACATTGGGGATGTTCTTCATGCTACTGAATTCTATACTTTAAAATGGTTAAAATGGCAACATTTGTTATGTGTATTTTGCCATTATAGAAGACCCATTTCATCATAAATTTAAGGATTTGTTCATACTTTCTCAATCTGTTCCACTGATCTACATGACTATCTTTGTACAAGATTCATACTGTTTTGATTACTGTGGCTTTATGACTTCTGAAATAGGTATGATAAATCCTTCAACTCTGTTTTCCTTTTTCAAAATGTTTTGGCTGTTTAAGGTGATATAAATGTATATTCTGCATACATTTTAAGATCAGCTTGCCATTTTCTACAGGAAATTCAGCTGAGATTTTGGTAGATATTGAGCTCAATCTACAAATAAACTTGGGGAAGGTTGCCATACTGAGTCTCCCAATCCATGAACTATCTTTATTAAGTTTAAATTTTCTCAGCTATGTCTTATAATTTTTTAGTAATTTTTAGTTTGCAGGTCTTATTCATATTTTATGGGATTTATCCCTAATGTTTTATTCTTTTGAAGGCTATTGTGTATCCATTTGCTTTCTTAATTTCATTTTTGGAATTTTTGGTGCTAGTATGTACAAGTATAATTGATATTTTGATGTTGATATTATGTCCTGTTGGCCTTGCTAAATTTGTTTATGGGCCTAGTAGCTTTTTTGTCTGTGCTTTACTTGATATTTTCTCCATACAGGATGATCTGTGAATAAATAAAGCTTTATTTTTTCCTTTCCAATCAGGATGGATTTATTTTGTTAGGGTAGGGGGCTTATTCCATTTGCTCAAGCTTCCAGTACAATGATGAATAGAAATGGCAATAGTAGACACCATGAATTGTTCCCAATATTAGGAACATTCTTTTACCATTAAATATTATGTACACTGAGGTTTTTTATAGACTATTTGCCTGGAGAATGAGGTCCTAACAATTCCAATGTTGTTAAAAGATTTTAAAATCATGAATGGGTATTGAATTTCACTGAATCCATTTTCTAAATCTTTTGGAATGATTATGTATTACCCCTTTGTTCTATTAATATGAAGCATAACATTCATTGGTTTCCTGCCATGACCCCACCCAATTATAGCCCTCAGGATGCTCCCCTCCCCCAGCTTCTGGCCACCAGAGTGGGGTGAGCTCACCAACAGCCCCTCTCCTCCAA